ATATATTGTTCTTCTCCCTTTATATCTGTCAATAAATCTGAAAAACATTTACTAAACACTTCAGATATCGAATTTAATCCAAACGGTAATCTTCGATAACAATACCTACCCCAGTTTCCCAATTAAAAGTTGTAAGCGATTGTATGACTTTTCACTCTGTGAGATTAGGTATTTTGAAGCGTTCTGAGTTCTCGACAACTTGTTCAAGGTCACGAGTCTACAATACTGTGTTAAAACTACGACCAAGCTATTTTGATACTTTCCCAATTTTTGTATTTTTTTAGTATTTCTATGGTGAGAAAAAGGAGTCTGTTGTTTTTAGAATTAATGTATGTATGTGAGTTTTTTTTATTGCACCATAACTTTTGAAAGATATAACGGATATGAATGTATAGGGTATCATTAGAAACATCATCCTAAGTTACCACAAAATACATAGAGTATCAGTGACACTAGCTTTATATATTAATATTAAATAGGTATGGGGACGTGTGACGCCATTTAAAAAAGTATGTTTTTTTTAATCATAGCTTTATGGGTATCAAATTAAAGGTCCATTAAAAATATATAATCTCTATACATAATTAGCTGCTCACTTAAAGGAATAAAATATAAATAATTATTTAAAAATTAAAAAAACGACGGCTAAGATCGGACAAAAACTAAAAGAAACAAGTTTAGCCAAATCATAGGCTATATAATATAAATAGCGATGATAATATATCTATAAAAATATAAATATTAATTAAAAAATATTCGTGCCATATTCTTCGTCGACGATTACGGAATATTTTCGTCATCCATAGGAAACATGTTTTTTTTTTCTTGGCATGATCCATTCTGAAACAGGGACTGTTTCCTGTTTTGAAAAGTAGTAAATTAGAATTATATTAAACTAGTTGTGCCCGCGACTTTATGCGAATGGAAAGTAACCTAAGGTTCTTTTCTCATGGCTAGATGCGATGTTATTCGATATCGATGAACGTATTTCACTTCGGTAATCTCAAATTGACACGAATCGCACGCACTTATAAAATGTATGGAAAAACTCAAGTGTTTGCTCATGAGATTGTACTATCCACAGAACATAGAGAGAGATTAGAAGTAGTAAGTGGGCGGGACACGCGTGGCTTGCATATCGCCCATGAAGAGTCAATAAATAATAACTGATATTTTGTAAATTTTTGTTTTATTTAATTATTCGTTGTAAAATAGATTACTACACAATAGTGACAAAGATTTTGGGTTCGTTTCTTATGTTTTTGTAAGATAAACAATAATTGCAATGTACTGAAAAAACCAATATAATAGATTTGTAACGTTTTTTTCGTCTCCTGAAAAGTTGCATTTTTGCAGTTATTATTTATTGATTCTTCATAGACGATATGCGCTTTTACTCATATGACGCCCTTTCCTCGGTTTTACGTTTGTCAGTCGTTCGTCAATCGTCGAGTGGTGATTTTACAGATTTTTTCTATAAAAAATACCGTTAAAGCAAAACAAAGTATACAATCTAACTAATGCAAACATTTCCTTTCACTGATAAGTACAATTTTAGTGCTAAAATATAAAAAACGTAATAATTTGACAGAATGTCAAATAAAATATACATTGTTTGCTCAAACCAACATTAATGTTTCTAGACAGCAATGTAAATCATTTTGTGCACTTTTGCAAAAAATAGTGCTGTTCCTCCATTGGTCTGAAATGTACAGATCGGCTGTTGCTGTTCGAAATCGTATTGTTAATAATATGGATCGTAATCGATAACTAAAACATATTTATTTAGAGCTTTTCTTTCATAATTTCATAACAACGTTATGGATAAGTATATGCCATAATTATATAAAACTAAATACTACTGTTTACAAGAGAAAATAAAAGATGAATTGATACTGAACAGATGAAATAATGAACTATCCAGGAACTTATTTACGAAGATTCGGTTAATTATTTACACGCAGATAAATGTTAAAAAATGCTGATGTGCGAAAAATATCTAAGTTGCGAAGTATATCAACGTTTTATGAAAAATACATAAATCAAACGAAACTTCGTGAAAAGCTAAGAGAGTTGGTCTAACAGGTCTTATTAGAAACTGGTGAAACTGGATTTCACTTATTTTGCATTACTTATATTTCAGTTTCCCTAATAACTTTACAACGGATTGCCCTGTTTACATAATTTATTTAGTCCTATCCGTTTTAGACCTAAACCTATCAAATGAATTTCAAAACAACATACTATATAGATAAATATTTATATAGATATTTGTATAGACAAACAAAAAATCATGTTTTCAACTAACGTAATATTGTTGGTGGTGTGAATTTAATTTACAAAATTAATTTATAGACGTCGATTTAATTTACTTTATTATGATGATTCATAATCAGAAACCATTATTATAGAAATCGAGTTAAGATAGCCACTTTAAAGAACCGCCCACAGAACAGCTTTTATCAGTTTTTTTGTTGCTCCATATTTGCACATAAGTTTATAGACGCATGTCTCAAACGTATGTGACTTTATATGTAGATTGACGTTTGTACGTACTTATCGCTTTTGTGTCTATCTTCAAACTTTTTTGTCACGGCTTTCAAACTCATACTTGACCAGCAATTCCTTATTGTCCAGTCGTTGCAATTAATAATGTAGCTATTACTATTATTACAGATATAAAACTTAGAATAATAAAGTAAAACAAACATGGATATGATCAATTTATTATTGTAATGATCATATTAGTTATTATGAAATTAAATGAAAATATCTTTATTCAAGTAGGCTATTACAAGCACTTTTAAATCGTCCAAAAATGTTTTTCCCCTACCACTTGTTCAGGACGTCTTTTAGCTGACAAGAAGAACTAGCGAAAGAAACTTACCAGCCCATTATCATAAGTAATGACATTTAAATAAATCATGTCATTTCATATGATTTCACAATAATAAATACAACTTTCAAAGTCTGTAGGACATAGGTTGAACATATAATTAGTCTTTATAGAACAAAGCGAAGGCTATTAATTCCATGCATTGAGATCCTTAAAATAATCATCAACTTTATAATAGCCTTTTGAATTTTAAATTTATTTATGGGTAGGTCAACTACGAACTTTATTGAACATAGCAATGCATTTACCCAGAAATGATCCTCTGGTTATCTGAAGTCTGAAGCTTGGAATGGCAAGTTTATTTATATTTCTTGTGTTAAGATTATGAATACTACTTTCTTTTTGTGAAGGAATCGTAATGTTTCCTTGCGTACATAATATTTTCATTGATGTATTGAGAAGCAACAGTCAAAATATTTATTTCTTTAAATTTTTCTCTGAGAGATTCTCTAGACCGTAAATTATATATAGCGTGGACAGCTCTCTTTTGTAGAATAAAAATATCTTGAACGCTAGCCGCAGAACACAACAATAGATTATACGTCATTACACTATGAAAATAACTAAAATATACCAATCTTGCCGTTTCAACATTTGTCAAGTCTAATTTTCTTAACAGCAAATGCTGCAGAACTCAGTCTACTTGACAAATTATCAATATGAGGATTCCATTGCAGTCGGGAATCTAGTGTAATACCAACGAACTTTGTCGATTCCACCAACTCAATTTTTCACTATTTACATTTATAAGTGTATTAACATGCCTCACATTAGGTAATGCAAACTTTATGTATTTCGTTTTATTTGAATTAAGCTTTAAATAATTACTATCAAACCACAATAGAACATTGTCGAACTGAATTACATTTAACTGTTTCATAACAAAATTTAAAGCTCTTTATTTATCAACTAATATGTCACATCACTAATATGCACAATCGGAATGATACCAGTAAGAAAAAATTACAAATTAGGCTTAATGTAATTAATACAAAAATTCTGTTGTTTTCATAATTTTTGTTTTTTTTTTACACTTTCCTCGCTTAATTATATATAATTCCACAGACATATGATAGAGTTTATCATTAAGTTTCTTAGTATTTGTACTGCGTTTTTTAAAAGATATTTTAATAAATTATATAGGGAAAAGCGTTATTTTTCAATATTCACTTGGTTGCAGCAAAATCTAATCTTAATAGTTCGCACATAAAATGATGTCCCCAATTTTTTAAAATGTGCATATACTTTTAAAATTTTTTCCCTTCTGGTATCCCCGTATACAAGCTGCACAGCCACGTGATAGTTCAACATTCATGTTAAAGTAAATTATTTATTATCACGTTGAATTAGAGTTTGTTTTTAATCGTGTGATTTCTTAGCTTACTTTCTTTTTGGGATTTTGTTTATGTTATCGCGAACGTATCGCGTGGCGGTTTTTCATGTGTTCCTTATGAAATAGTCATTAATCTGGCATAAATAATATTGTTATGGCTAAGAGAAATTCAAAGTTAAATTCAAGCAATTTTTGATGGTTTTGGTTTGTAATATGATTGTTTTTCTATATATCAGTGCTATTTCAAAATTTCGACGCTACTGTTTACTTTACGACTATATAAGAGATATTATTCTATTTCTTTTATTTCGTTTATAAAGAACAGTAGCTCAATCCAGGAGCTCAAAAAAGTGTCTTTGCGCATTTTATGCAAATCTTTCTCTGGTATTTTGGGTTTAATTAAAAAGATGAGCAAAATTTCCAAAAAGTTAGGCCACTTATTTCTATACCAAGAGTTATTCTTCACTATTCAACAAGTCAAAATTGTTAATTTATTTTTGTTTCCGAGAAAAATCACGCAGAAAGCACAGTTGAGATGTAATATGGGTCTTAATTTAATAATAAGATATCCCTTAGACGCATCGAAAACTTGTATTACCGTATTTTATTAATAACGAAGAATTAAAAAAAAATATACTTGTTCAATATTCTTCAATAATCCACCTGACAGACAAATAAATAAAAATCATCTCTATTGAACCTCTATATTGTAACCGCATTGCACTCAACGTCAAATTTTACATCAAGTCACGTTCAATATAATTTTTCATTTCCACAGGGATCAGTCAACTCATACCTCTGGATACAGTTAGTGTACGGCAGAAGATGACCGTGTTCTCAGGCAACGAATACGTGGTGGTTGATTTGAACGGGCAGCAGCTGTTCCATGGCAAGGAGTCTGGTGGCGCACTCAATTTGCTTGTTGGCAAAAATAGAGCATTTGACATCACCATCACAGATATGCAGGATAATAAGGTACTGTTATAGATACCTCGGGCCCTGTGACAGCATAGAGATTCAATGAAATAAATCCTTAGTAATTTACTTTTGAAGTAGGTTTTATTGGATTGAACTTCTGTGGCGACATAGAACCACTGCGCTTATATTGCCACAATAATCGATGGCAAGACTGAAGCTTGTAACGGCGTGCTGTACCACCGTTTATTTCGTCCTAAGTTTCAGCATGCAAACTTTTTGTCTTTGATATTCAATATAATTTCTTTTTGTTATTCATCTTTCGTAATTTGAAATTTCGACTAATCATGTATGCTCTTTATGAATGTCAGTACCTAGGTACGTAAAATTCATCTTTTGTGAACATGTAATTGTAAATCGTATAAATTTAAATATAAAATATTATAATAATGAAGTGATTATTATTAAAATAGAAATTATATATTATTTAAAATGAAATTATGTCTTGAAATATTATATCACGAGATAGTGCTGCGATATCTACATCGCGCTTATTAAGATTCGCCGTGCCTTAAGCCGCTGGTTCAGTTTGCATTTGCAGTAGTTAATATCCCTAAGATTCTCTCTTCCACATTGGGCCCGCGCAGAGGGTCATGGCCCATCCTCCTTAAACATCCATGAGGAAGTCCTGAGCACCTGAAGTGGGGACGTAAAGGTGCTGATGATGTAATTTAAATAGGCTTCAAAAATGCTTCGTAGAAAATGAACCGTACAACAAATTAATTAACGAGCAGAACTGACAGACTGATGGAATAGACGGCGGATTGGTGGGTGTCAAAGGCTGAAAGAACGGCTTCACGTGCCTTCTGAAGCATGGATGAGCTCGAGACAACAAATAAAATTTTTGGTCATCCTTCCTGTGGCCGGCCTGAACCTGCTAACTACTGCGCCGTCAAGCTCCTCGCGTGACCTTCACTTGTCTTTGACCCGGCTGTCAATTAATTTTGTCCGTGCAAAGTATCCTTTCCATTCTTGTTTAGTGCACATCACTCTTAGCCCACTCGTAGTTTGGCGTCTTGTATCACTATTATCTATGTCACACAACACAGTAAACCCATTAGCCTTTCTACTAAGCGCGCAAACACTTAAATTTTGCTAGACTATTTTTGAAAGCCATAAGTTTTTATGTTTTTCGTAAAGAGTTGATAGCTCAGAAAGTGAGTTTTTATAACTAATCTGTTTCGTTACAAAATGGATAGGTCAGAAAGTGAGCTTTTATATTTTGATATCTTTGTGGAAGATTAAAATTCCTATCTTTATATTTCCTCTTAAAAAAATCCGGTGGAAAATGGGGTTAAGTTTTAAATATATATAACGGGCGGGTAGTCCGAATGGGCTATTACGAAGCCCAAATAGATGGTCCATATCAGAGGACTATCTTTAAAATAACACCGCAGGCGTGGTATACCAACGTGGCTTTGTTCCATTTATCACTTTTCATACGAAAATATAACGAGATGAGCGTGATGTCATCGGATGTCTTTACTCCTCGGCGTTTGGAAACAGAATGTGTGTCAAAATGGCGGCAACTTGGTTTTTATAAACGAACTGTCAAAGTCAGTGTCACCATTCTAATAAAATTAAAAGTATCGATGATCACGCTCTCTTTACAATCGAGTAATTAAGTAATCGAGTAACTAGCAATTAAAATAAAAGAAACTAAATTAAACGATCTTCGTAAAGATGATGCGACACGGCCATTCTGGCAGTCGCGTTTCTGTAACAAAATAGAAGAGCTTTTCTGAGCTAGGTATCTGTAAACCTAGTCATTTGGGAATTTTGATTTGAACTAGAGTCTCGATCATCATTTCTTAAACATCAAATTTATTACCAACGGGTATTTTATCACAATTGTAATAAAAACGGTAGTTAAGTAAGCACATGTAACTTATAAACGAATAGAAATTGTATAGGAAAATGAGCTGTTTTATCAAGTATATTTGGTCAATGCAAATGCTCCACGCATACTTAGATAAGATAAGATAAGATCTTTATTTGCCAGAACACAAGTCATTGAGGTCACAAATAATCAGACAAGTACAGTATTCTGCCTGCGGACAGGCGTGCAAATATTGTTATTATATTATTAACTTATTACATTTTTTATTATCATATTATATATCAAACATCTCATAAAATTACAAATTATTATTATATATTATCATTATGTCATGGTTTTTTTTTTAAAGCTAAAAAGTCTTTAACGCTATAAAAGCAGTGTTCTAGAAGCCACTTTGTCAGTTTTAGTTTAAATTGATTCATGTTTAACAGTTTCATGTCATCTGGCAAATTGTTATATAAAATTATGCACATATTGTAAATATTGTTTTTATAGATGTTTTTAAGACAAGGAGGCTGATACAACAGGTTTCTATATTTTCGTCTTGTTTGTCTCGGAATAATGTCCACACGTTTACTCCAGTAATTGGAATGAGAGTGAACAAATACACAGATATCTTTTATGTACATACAAGGTAGAGGCAAAATATTAAGCTTTTTGAAAAGTGGCTTACAGCTATCATCGAACCAAGCATTACACATAACACGAACACACTTCTTTTGAATTTTAAAAACTCTGTTTAGATCTACGGAGGCTCCCCAAAGTATCAGGCCGTAGCTTAAAACCGACGACACATAACCATGATATGCTGTTAAGGCAGCTTCAACAGAAACTGTTTGTTTCAGTTTCTTTATGGCGAATACAAACCGGTTAAGTTTTCCACATACATGGTCAATGTGCTGCTTCCAATTAAGATGTTTGTCAATAATGATTCCAAGAAAACGTATTGAATCTACTTCTTCTATTACGTCATTTCCGAAATTAATTTTTAAATGAATAGGGTTTGAATTGTATGATCTAAACTGAATTAAGCGTGTCTTACCTATATTCAACTTTAAATCATTTGAATCCAACCATTTAGTAACGTCTGATAGTGCTGAGGTTATTTTACATTCAAATGTGTCACTATTAGTATTATCACATTTAATAACAATTGTTGTGTCATCTGCGAACATTATGCATTTATTGTTTGTGCTACGCGGCAAATCGTTTACGTATACCAGAAAAAGTAGTGGCCCAAGTATACTTCCTTGAGGAACACCGGTATTATTTATTCTGAAATCAGATTGATATGACTGTTTTATATGTATATTATATTTCTTTACAATTTTACTCACCTCGGTAGCCTGTAATCTGTTGTTTAAGAAACATCTTATCCATTCAAGAGCATTACCTCTAACACCACAATTGCATAGCTTGTGCAAAAGCTTAGAGTGACTTACAAAATCAAAAGCTTTGCTCATATCTAGGCACAAAGATACAACAGGAGTTTTGTTATTGAGGCTTTCAGTTATGTGACGCATAAATTCAAAACATGCCAAAGAAGTTGAGCGACCCTTACGAAAACCATATTGGTCTGAATGTAAGGTATGGTGTTTTTCAAGAAAACTCAACAGCCTAGAATGCATAGCTCTTTCGAAGATTTTAGACATGATTGGTACTAAAGTTATAGGTCTATAGTTATTTGGATCCAGTTTATTGCCTTTCTTAAATAAGGGTTTCACAATACTGATCTTTAGTTGCTCTGGAAACTTCCCCTCACTAAATGACAAATTTATAAGATGAGTCATAGGATGGCATATAAAAGAAGCACACGATTTAATAATATGTGTAGTAATACCATCGTAACCATTTGACTTACTATTATTCAAAGAAAGGATAATTTTATAAGTTTCATTTACATCCACAGGTCTTAGAAACATTGTAGAAGAATTCGTATTTTCAATAATTGATCGAGATGTCGTAATATTTGCAGAGTCATTGTTTTTAGTCAAATTTATAAAATAATTATTGAAAATATTGCTAATGTCAAAAGGATTATTGTATATTTTATTGTCATAAGAAATGGAATTAATGTCGTAATTATATATATTATTAGAAGTCATTGATGATATTGTATTCCAGGTAGCTTTACATTTATTTTTATTATTTCGTATATATCTATTGTTATAAATTTTTTGTGCACACAAAATACATCTTTTTAAAATACTGTCATATCTTTTTAAATTAACTTTATTTTCTGATTTACCATGTTTAAAATTTTTGTATTTTAAATATAAAGATCGCTTAACCTTGCACGATTTTTTAATACCCTTCGATAGCCAAATCAGTTTTTTTGAACGATTATTTATTTTTACTTTAATGATTGGGAAGCAAAGGTCGTAAAATAGGAGTATCATATCATAAAAACTCTGGAAAGCATCAATAAAATTAAAACTATCTAAAACTTCCGAAAAAGAAAGAGACGACAAACATTCACAAAATTTAAACATGTTATAGTAACTATAGTCACGTCTTTCTTCAAACCAAGTAGAGTAGTGTTTTTGTTTATTTTTTATTTTTATTCGAATTGTTTGAGCTGTTTCATGATCTGATAGCCATAAATAATGAATTTCAGGGATCACTGATTTAATATTGCTTGCAATTTGGTCAATACATGAGTTTTTTCTAGTAGGTTCAATTATATGCACGTCTAAACCATAGTTTTGTAGTGTACCTAATAAATTATTGGTGGCAGTATCTCGTTTCAAAATATTAATGTTCCAGTCACCGCACAGCACTATTTTTTTGTTCTTATATTTAGTGGTAAACAAACATAGAAGTTTATCCAATTTATATAAAAATATTCCTATATGTGATTTTGTTTGAACTGGTATTCTATAAATATTTACTATTATAAGTTTTACTCCTACAACTTCAATGCCGCAACATTCGAAATAGTTGTCTGTCGCTATATCTGAAATAAAAGGTACTGATTTTACCTCTTACGTCTTTTTAATAATTATACAAGTCCCGCCTTGGCCTTTTTTACGACAAAAATTAACCACCAATTTATAATTATTTAGCTTAATATTTGCCTCCGAACCCTGACGAATAAAGGTCTCACTAAAGCAGATTATATCTACCTCCCTGCCATTTTCTTTGAATTCATTAATAGCAATGTTCAGTAAATCTAGCTTATTACAATGGCCTCCTATATTTTGATTAAATATAATTAAATCGCTACTATCCTTACATATCACATTTTTAGCACTTTGAGAGATATTATGCAAAGAAGCACAAATTTTAGGAGCGAAAACATTTGACAGATTCACGCGACGTATGACCGTGAACATTATACGAATAAAATATATTATGTATAAATTCAGATTGATAACGTATAAAGTCTATTTCTATATTAATTTTAAAACATAGCGAATATAGAGAAAGTAGCTTATCGCTTTACATAACAAATTTACATAACATAATATAACATTCTACTAACATTTTGAAATCAATATTTATTATATTTTTATTTAGGTATTTACTATAACGCACAGACAATAAAATTATACTAATATCTTTCAATTTAAATAATACATTGCACAGGTTGGAGTACAGTAAATGAGGATTTTTATCATTTCCACCTAAAGACAAAATTATAATATCGTCCTTTTTAAATGTATATTCATCACTAAGTAGGCTATTTACCACTTGAGTACTCGATGCATTTATGGCTTTATTAGCGCCGTTGTTTTATATGTATCATTCCATTTACCCGCCCTTGTATGTGATAGTTTGATTGACAGCCCTCTCACACTTTCATCCCCAAATATATGGATAGTTGACTTTTTTACAGTGTTTAGTGTATCATATTCTTGACTGGTGGACTGGTTTCGTTGAATTTTTAAGTTCGTAGAAGATGTCGCTTTATTTTGTGGAGGTGTTTTTGGTGTACTAGAAAATTTCATACGATCATTTTGTAGTGTCATTTTGATTTTAAGTTCTGGTTTGTTGGGGGAGGTATTCAGCTGATGCGTATTAAGTTCAATTACACTATCATTTACTTCCCGTTTCTGTTTACTAAAATGACTTCTGATCTTATTTCGTATAGTAGATTGCGAATTCGGTGTAAATTGACTTAGATTTTTTAATTGTATAGCTTTCTGTTCATGGCTTCTTATTCTGTCTTTTAACACATAAGTTTCTGAAAGCAAATTCTCAATTTCACTTTCTGCTATTTGAAGTTTTGTCCGTAAATCGATAATTTCTTTTCTCATATCGTCCGCTTGACTATAGATCATCGACTTTTCTGGGCAGCTTCTATTACATAACTTATCTGATGGAAGTGAGAGATAATCATTTTCATTATCATCGTCACAAGAGAGATCAGACAATACTTCAAAGGAATTATTTATTGGAATTGACGAAATTGAATTGATGTTGTTTTCGAATTATTGCGTATAAAGTTACTTTGCTTTTTTATCACATTAGTTAAGCAGGTACATTTCCAGTTACGGCGGCTCGACAGTCATAAGGCAGAATAACTTGTATGACACATTGCAACAGTTTAGATGGTAGTTATTTTCACAGGTTGAACAAGTTAAATATAGCCTGTCTTTAATTTTTTTACTATATTTAGCGCAATCAGTAGACTTACTCTTTTTTCTAGTTATGACACCCGAAGTTTTGCGAACTTTTGTTGCCATGTTTATTATGTGTATTTAAATTTCTTTTCTACTTAATAAAAAGACAAAATTGTGATACTATGAAGTGGCGGGTTTGAACCTCGTAACTTTGATATCGTAATTCTAGCACAGTTGCCAATGCGCCAACTATGACTTAGTTGGGATTGTGAAATTACAGAATTGTATCGGTAATCAACTTCGTAGTTTTTACTTACATCGACAGATGTCACTGTTTTATTTTTAAAAGCATGCTACAATACCGTATTTGTTTAGTCCTTAGATATCTTTCCATTAGGTGGCGCTTTTGTTCAATGTTTACAAAATTAGACTGTAAGTGTTATCCGCAATGGATAAATTCGTTTGCACTGTCTCAATTTTTTATATTTTTCAAATAAAATTAACGATCAGCTGATTGAACATAATACTGAATTGTAGTGTAGAATATTTGTAGTTTCACTTATGATCGTTCACTTTTAAAATAGGTTATTTATATAATGTTTCAACAGATTTTCCGATGATTAACTTACTTATTTAATGCTGCGTAATAAAACGTTTCATGCTGCTTTAATTCTCATTCAGTGATTTCACTTTTCACTCAGATTAATTCACTAAACCACCGAGTCCTTCGTAAATAAGAATAACACGTAATATTTTGAGTCTATCAACCTCAGACCAAATAAAAAGTATAGACGGAGTTTCGCCTAACAGAAAAGAGAAGCCGACAAAACTACGCCTTGGCGTATTCGTACACAGTTTCACGCACACATACATAACCAAACTACGCCTTCCTTATCAGTCTAACTAAAGACAGCGTGCGGAACGTTTCATTATAAAAAAAATAAAAATTTCTTACTAACTGCCGAATTGTATAGTAAAAGGTTGTTAAAACCAATTCTCGAAAAATAAAAAGCAGGATGGAATCACATTTCACACATAAGTATTGGAGAAAACTTACATTTTCAGTAATTTAAAAATTAAATTTAAGTAATTGCTTGGAACACAAAACCTCAGCTAAATATTACCATCGTTAAGCGTTATTATTTACCCCGAAATCAGGTGACTTTAATTTTATAACGCGTTATTTCTAACAAAACACAAATAACGTTATGTATTTTTTTCTTGTTTTATGGAAATGATATTTAATAAATTTTGCATTCATAATGCTACATAGAGGTCCAGATCACAGATATTGAAGTGTTAGAATAACGAAGTAAAAAATAAAAAACGGGTTTAATTTTTTACTTCTTTATTTTTACTAAACGGGTTTGCATACATTTTTTCATTTCCAAACCGACATCAAAATGTGAAAGAGAAATGGATTTCAGTTATTCGTAATAGTCGAAGTGAACCTTCATTGAATCCAACTTCGCGCAGCGTAGTTTGTTCGACTCATTGTAAGAGCAATGATATGTATTTTACTATAAAAGGCTTACGTCGAATAAAGTAAAAACTTATATCCAAAGGTTTCAAACTTTCTATATATTAAAATTTTAGCTAACATAGTGGAAGTTTTCAAACTTAACTTAAAAATTAATTAAATACTCTCCCTAATGTATGGCCTCCAATAATAATTACCTACTCTTAAAGATTGTAGAATATCTATGCTGTATATTGACAAACGAATTAACATTATATTAAATAGCATAGCGTTAACGTTAACTCTATAACGTCGTAACGTTAAGTTATTGGGGTGTTTTTAATGACTATGGTCACACTGGCACGCACACTACAATCGCTAAAAATCGGCTTCACTTTGTTATTCAGCGAACTCCGTCTTTACTTTTTATTTGGTCTGAGCTATCAACAATTTAATCACTTAAAATTTTGATAAAATCCACTTAATCTATTTTTAAACCAATTTTCAATACGGAGCTAATGTTTATCTGGCTAGTAGCGCCATCTGAGTAATCAATGCATTGATTATTGTACTCGTAGCAAGTATGATGCTGTAGTCATGAGCGGTCCTGTACGCCGTGGTCCACAGTGGCTCAAAAGGAGATGGGGAAATTTCGATGCTGGGGTCTGGGTCTTACATAAGATCGTGGTCCCCAGAGGTTCAAGTCTAATTAATTATTTTGAATTCACTATGTAATATCACTACATAGTATAAAACAAAGTCACCTTCTCTGTCTCTATATTCCTATGTATGCTTAAATCTTTAAAACTACGCAACGGATTTTGATGCGGTTCGTTTTTAATAGATAGAGTGATTGAAGAGGATGATTCCCACTACTAAGGCTCAGGCTTTCGTGTGGATGGAATCGAATCAAATGGAATAGGGTGAATGAATCATGACCATAGTGGATCTAGTGCGGATTGGTGGGTATAAATGACTGCAGATGCAACCGGGACGAACGACTTAACATCGAGATTAACATCGACATCGAGGAGATCGAGATTATACATTTTTTGTCATCCATTCCTTGACCGATCATTGCTATAGTTGCTTAACAACCATACCGAAGATCAATCGCGTTAATCACTGAACCATTGAGCGTTATATAGCTGCCATCGAAATCAGTAAAATTTTGGAAGGTGTCTAGAAAGTAATCGAAACCATTTTATGTTATCTAGTAGGTGATTTATTATCCAAAGGAGTGTTAAAGACATTATATTATCTTTCTAAATAGATTATTTGTGTATTCCAGGTGATCACACTTCGTCGACCATACACCTTCGGGCCTGACAAGATGGAGGTGACGGTGTGCAATCAGCTGGCCAGCGTAGTGCGCCAGGAGGTCACGTTCATGAAACCGGTGCTGAACATCAACGATCCTCAAGACCGCCTCGTGTTAAGGGTCAAAGGACCAGCTGTAAGAACAGGAGAATGTGACTTTGAGGTGGGTGAAGCATTGATCTAGCTTGTCTACGGCGGAAATGATAGGCTTTTAAATAGAAACAGGCGTGGAAGTTCATTACTGTAACTGTGGAACTATGATATTTAGAAACTTAGACACTCAATAAGTATTATGGAGCGCAATAAAGAAATTGATTTGAATCAGTATCTGCAAGATATGCATTGCCTACCCACCCGCATACAAATGCATTTGCACAAGCGGCATGTGTATATTAGTCCCATATTCTCAAAAATCAAAAATTACTTTTTAAGGAGCTGGATGTATCAGTGGTTAGTGCGTTCCTTCTGCCATGTAAAAGTTATGCAACTTTCGCGAGGCCTGGTCATTTAATGGGTGATTAAAAATATACTATTTTAAGCTATTCCATTCTTCGGAAGATATCATCACTATCCCTTTTACGTCCCCACTCTTATTCTCTTATCATGTAACTCTGAGGACTCTCGTAATAAATTGTTCACAGAAGTGTGTGAGACCAGCGATTATACGAATAAGCGATTTTGACGTATTGGAATAGTTCACTTTTTACGGTCATTACGATTATAAGCTGTCGGTTGAATTAGCGAATATGCCTGCTGGTCTTCCTTATGGATGGTTTAGGACCAAGGATTGGCCACGATCCTCCACGCTGGCCTAATGCCAATCGGAGGGTATTAACGATTGCAAATGCAGCCGGCACTGACGGCTTAACGTGCCTTCCGAAGCATGAAATGGCAAGAAATAATGATTTTTTGGTTATTAACGATCGTGGCCCGCGGCGCTTATCCGTTATGTCACCGAGTTACTAGGATAGACATAAGCTGTTACGTTTGTATATTATGTTCAGCGTTTATTTTGACGCATCTCATTTGTTTGTTCAATAGGATTTCAACTATACTCCACTAATTAAAAAATATTATGCAATTTGCTTCCAGATATTTACCCCTAGCAAGAAACGTGTAGGTGTGATTCGCAAGCTTTGGGGCGGATGTGCTCGGGAGGTGTTAACTAGCAAAGACAACTTCAGAATAAACTTCCCGACAGATTTGGACGTGCGCTACAAGGCTGCACTCATAGGAACTTGCTTCCTAATTGTGATTACTTATAATATTTCTTAAGTTATACTAGTTTTAGCTGACGACATATACGCTTATGTTTTTCACTTTGCCTACTATAGCGTATATTATACCATGACCATTAAAAAAGGAATCATTTCAAGATCAATGAGTATTTCTAGTACTATTACCATATTTAGTAACAGTAGAATACTATATCAAAAGAAAATGTACTCCCTGTCTATTCTCGGTACGCTCATATAGAAATGCCCATCGTTTGCTTTGTCAGTTACCCAATTATTTGGAGTCTGCGTGATATGTATTCTCTTTCCATATTTCTCGATCAGTCATATTTTCGGCATTCACTAATTTCTTTTTAATATCATCATTCCCACATTCTATTCATTCTCTTTTCGGATTCCATAAAGTTTTTGGTAACATACCAAATCACCATCTCGTTTCTTTTCATCACCTAGATAATCTGTTGTTTACCAATTTTTCTGGCATGATATGTAGTGATGAGCCCCTCACTCGCGAGGTGCCTCGTTTGAGTTCCTCATTTCGACAAAATGAGGGAGTACTCGTTTTTAAATTTTGAACCAACTCATTAAGTTCCTCACTTTTTGAGTGAGGGCTAAGTAGCGAGTTGTTTCGAATGAAAAGGCGACTCGATACTTACTCAATATATTCAAGATCGAGGGAATGGGTTAAGTTTTATGAGTTTTTTGGAACGATTCAGGTTTGTTTATGTGTTTCTTCACAAATACGTATTTAATATTTTATAGATAAATGATATTAATTAGTCTAAGTAAAAATCAAAGTTAATAAAAATGTATCGGTTTTATTTAGAAATATATTTATATGATTCGAAATATAATTGATTGATCGATTTTAAAAATGGAACATTTGACACTACTGCAAATAAGTTGCGTGTTGTGGTCATTCTGTTAAATAATAATCTAATAAAGTTTATTTCTTAGAATCTAAAGACAAAATATGTTTTGTTTAGCATTACCGACTCCCTCCCTCATTTTGTACCAAACGGCAATGTTGCGCGCGCCTCGCTACGTACTCATTCACTGCTACTATAACATTACCTATCCTCACCTCAAATGAGTGGTAACTCGCGAGCCCCTCACGAGGGAAAATGAGGTACTCACTCATCCTCATTAAAAAAGAGTGAGTAACACAACGCTAATGATATGATAATTCTTGATATGATATGATAATTGTGATGATAATTCTTCACTTTGTTTATTCTAAATGGATATTTAATATTTAATTATTAAAATACCTCTATATGAGATTCGGAAATACACGCAGAGGAAGTGGAGAACTGGTAATAAGTATATTAGGCGTAAGTTCACCGTCAGATTCGGTATTATTCTGAGCAATCCTGTTTTTGCACGCGTAACATGATGGCTGGGGCTCGACTCGGTTATAGATCATGAAACTCGGAGATATGTCGATATACTTTTTATAAATTTTAACGTAGTCGCAACAATCATGAAGTTTATATTATGAATATTTTTCTAAATGGCCATTTGATGATGATATAAGTAATATTTCACTCGCGATCTGAAAACATTTGGATTAAGAGAATGCATTTCTAGAGTTCATTATGTTATGCGTGCTGAGGAGCTCTTTGAAGTGGGCAAACCAAGTGAAGCATCGTATAATTAGCCGCAAATTAACCATTAATAAGACGTAGAAATAAACTTTTATTAAAAAATATATTTTTGTGTTTTACCATGTGCATGTATGCCTGGTGAATTTAATTTAATTAGTATGCAAAAACTATAAATGTTAACAAACAAAAAAAAATAAGCATTTCATTATTAGCCGTAAATAAACGGTGAAACTAAAAGAAATCGTGCTAACTTCAATGGCAACTTTTAAAATTTTCCTTTTTTTCATTTCAGGATTTCCTGTACTACGAGTGATAGTCATAGTGATTACGAAAAATTCTTTGCTTCCATTTTATATTGTTTTTGAAATATTTAATGTAGTATGTATATTTAAATAAGAGTATGACAAAGACAACAAAGAAATTAAATGAAGCAGTCAATTAGGATCCGTTTACTTATCAATTACTGCGAACTAACATAAAACTAAAAGGTGCAGAGAGCCAACAAAATTATAGTTGCTAGAGTAGTGGCTAGAGCCAACCCGGATGTATTGAACTTTTGTTGGAGGAAATGGATATAAAGGATGCCTTATTGCCAAGTGAAGATGATAATGAGGTAGACGATAGGTCTATTAAAAGACTATTAATTCTATGTGTCGTGAAAACAATAGATCACATCACCGCTCACCAAAGATTTGTGGTGATGTTAATTGGTGCTGTTACTTCATATATATAAACTTCGTTTAACTGTTACTGCGTTTCTGAACACGCAAAAAACTACTCAATAACTATGTAACCAATAAGTAGTTCCTAAATTTACCACTAGATGGAACTCTTCAAGGAAGCGACTTAAATCTGACTTTTTTTATTTTATTTTGCACTTAGTACATGTTTTATTTGCGATAATAGTTTTTTTTTAAGTTAAATGTGTTATCAAATACTATTTAAGTGTAAAAATATGAAAATAAGTTATTTGTCAGTACTTGTATGTAATGCCGAAGGACGAAAATGTACATCCTTAAAAAAAAGAAGATACATGAAAATGTACATCCTTACAAAAAAGAAGCAGGCAGGGATCAGGTCGAGATGATAATTTTTGTTACCCATCCCATGACCGACCTTTACGAAAGTTGCTTAACAACAATAATCGCGGGCAGCGGCGCTTATCCACTACGCCACCGAGCTACTCTCCCCCTTGCTAGGTTTGGGAGAATACTGAGTAGCTACCCAATTTACAGTGTACCCGATGAATCGTGCCCGATAGATTGGTTAGTGTAATCGGCGCATAAGTCATTGCAAGGTCATCAAAATGTGTTAATTTTTTATATTCTAAACCTTTCTTAATCAGAATACAGGATCCGCCTCTTTTTTTAGACCTTGAGAAGCTTGATGCCAGATTATAGTTATGTATATTAACATTATTTTCTTCCCCCAGTTTGATAAAACTCTCAGTGAAGGAAATTACATCTGGTTTTATTTTATTTTTAAGGCTAGATAATGTTAGTTCAAATATTTCTTTTTTAGAGAGTATGCCATGTATATTTTGGTGAAATATTGTAAACTTATTCTCGAAAAAAATTAGCTTTCCTTTGATTTGAAGGTTTTAATTCATTTGTGTTATTAATTTGAGAATCAGGCCCCACTTTCTTAAAATAATAAGGTATTGTACCTCGCTTTGGAATGTTCATTTTTTCAATCGATTTTTTAGATTCCCTAATATGTTTTTTTAATGAATTCATAAGAAAGATAATTCTCTTTATATTCAATGTAGTCGACACAAAGATTTATTTTGTCAACAATTATTTTTTTTGTAAAATAATGTCATAATAATAGAAATATTTGTCAATATGTGTACAATGAGCAAAATGTCTAGTCCATAATCTAATATTATAATTTAAAGTTTTTTCATTAAATTGCTGATTGTAACATATGGGTAATAGAATTACAGAGTGTTTTTTCAGCTTGTTTAACAAAATACAAATATTTGAATGTAGTTGGTGTAAATCTTTATCATGAGTACCAAAGCCCAATATAACAATGTCATTTGTTCTGATTTTATTCATCATATTGTCCGAATAACTCAACATTTCGCGACTGCTACCTCCAGAAATTATGTGAGCTTGAGCCGTAAATACCTCTTTCCGTCTTCCAAAATAAGATTTATTTAAATTTATAGCTACATTTCTCATTGACTCGTCTCCCAAAATATATATTTGTCTTTTCATAACACTAGCGCCATCTGTCGATATGCAAGAAGACTGCGAACTAGAAGACTGCGAATTTGGTTTGTTGGTTTTACATTTCGGGCTGCTATTTATTTGCGAGATGGAATTATTTTGTGCTTTTTTTTCTTGTTTGTTCAGTTGAATATCCTGGGAAAAATCTAACTTATTTACTATATTACTTTTTTTCCCTTTATTTGAATTGTTATTATTTGGTGAAATACAGATGTGCGTCAATTGATCAATTTTTAACTCGTATTCTTTTAGTTTTTTTGTTAAGGCGTGATTTTCTGATACTAAATTAGATATCTCATTTTCCGCTATTTCGAGTTGTTCCTCCAATTTTTGCGTCTTTTGCTCTAACTTGACAACTTTTTCATTATTATCAAAGCGTAACATTGAAAAACTTCTGTTTAGATCAGGTTTTGGGGTGGAAGTTACCGATGAATACTCTGTATCGTCATCCGAAAGAGCCTCAAATGAGTTTTGAGTGGAAATATTTATTTTTTGTCTCTTTCGTTGCGTTATATTTTCACGTTGATCTGTATTCTTACTGCTAGTTTCGTATGGCTTTTTATGTTGTGGTGTCGCGGAGCAAGCGTGGCACTTAAATGCTTTCTTATTTGCCGCTGTCATAATTTTAAATCGTTGAAAGGTTACACTTGTGCAGTCAAGATGAAGATTTCCCTTACACAAGGAACATGTAAAATATTGCTTGTTTATAATGGCTTTTGTACATTTTGCACAGTTCAGCGCCATCTCGTAATGTAAGTTGGTACTAGTTTAAATGCTTTGACACTTTGTACAATGCAGTGGTCGATTTACTTACTATATAATATAATGTAAATTCGTTTGTCAATATCAGCATAGATATTCTAAAATATTTAAGAGTAGGTAATTATTATTGGATATACATTAGAGAGACTATTTAATTAATTTTTAAGTTAAGTTTGAAAACTTCCACGTTGTTAACTAAAATTTAAATATACCTATAGAAAGTTTGAAAAGTTCGACGTAACCCTTTTATAGTAAAATACATATCATCGCTCTTAAAATGAGTCGAACAAACTATGCTGCGCGAAGTTGGATTCCATGAAGGTTCATTTCGACTATTACGAATGACTGAAATCCACTTCTCTTTCACTTTTTGATGTCGGTTTGGAAATCTAAAAATTAATGCAAACCCGTTTAGTAAAAATAAAGAAGTAAAAAAT